CCTGTTGAACAGCATGCGGGCTCTGACCTGCTGACCTTTCATCACGTGTGGTGGCCTCGAGCGTGATGACTGCCTGATCATCTTGCCCTTCGGTACTGGTATAGGATGAGGCGGTGGCCTGTCCGTTCCCCAAGCGGCGACTTGCCTTGGCCAAATTGGATCTCAGCACCAAATATGGATTGCGAGTCTCGCCACCTCCGCATTCAGCGGGGAATTATAACGAATACTCCTCGACAGATTATATGTGAGCTGACCGCATTGCTAGTTGGTCCAATTTGTTCTGGCTGCTGATGCCTGTTAGACCAAGCGAGTTTTTTGTCCACAACCGTACGATATCCAGTAAGCGACTTCTAACGTTCTGAGTAATGACAGTGGGCAGTCCTGCCGCATTGCTCGCCAATGAGTGGCAGTGCGAAAGTTTGGCAGAAAGTGGTAGGAGACGGTGGACAGCTTTTGACAGGTTCTAGGTAAAGAAGGGGATATTTGCTATTGGCCGAAGTATTGGCATTTAGATCCCTTATCTCCTTTCTGCACGCACGCTTTGCGCAATCTTGTCCCCAGCCGGTTTGATGTGTTTTTGCCGAAGTTCGTTACCTGTCCGCTGCTTGTCGATTTGCTAGCTGACGTGTTCTAATTAAGCTCTTCTAGATAAAGTCGAACTTTGTCATATAAACATATTCTCGATATATGGTTTATATTACAGGCGTGATTGTTTAGGTTGATATATCTTGTGCAGTGAAATTGCACGACTAAAAAATATAGATAAGTGCAGATTAATTGACTTAGTTTTCGTAAGTAGCCATCTGATTTTTACGAGGAACCATTTGATTGCCCATAAAAATAATCAGCTAATTTGAACTAGTCCCTTGTCGTTAATCGAATGATAAAATGAGGGTGAAGATATCTTCAAGGAGAACGAAATAAGTGTAAATAGTGCACTATTAAAAACCGTTAGGTTGTTGAAGTCTCCAGTCTGCCAAAAGACAAGTTCAATTATTGTTATTTTTACTTATCACTGCATACGATGGGTATATTGAGAGCCCTTAGGAAGCGATTTATCGAAAACAGATTTGTTAGTTAATAGCGGCATTTAAAAGAATGGGGCACCAACCAAACGCCACAGCCCACAAAGTGCGAGCCTGCCCCGATGTTTGTCGACTTATAAGGCGTTATGTTAGAACCACAAAGAAGTCCGAAGTTTTAATTCTAGTTGGGAATGGACTTTTCAGCAAATTTGACTTGGCCCTGTGTGATATGGTAAATGTAGTAAGAGACTGCCGGAAAGGACTAGATATGGGGAAGTCAGAAAGCTAGCCAGCTGTTAGTGTTTTGCTCACCTTGACCTGTAAAAACATTAAAGCACATAGGCAGCATTCAGTAAAGGGCATAACTAAAGAACTTCTGAAAAAACGTATCGTATATGGAAAAAATTCACAATTGATTCAAAACATTTCAATCACCGACCTCTGTTGTATACAGTCATCATTTTTTAAATAATAAATTACGTTTTGTGTTATGGCGACTCTACAGATATGACCCAAGAACCATCTGCAGGCTGCCCAAATTCCAGTACATCGGTATATTTTTGAAAAAAGTCATTAGAAAGCAGTGTAAATCCGATCTTCTTAGGTAGTGGATTGCACACACTGAAGATCATATTCATAACTTTTTCAAGGAGATTGAAGCTCAGCAGACTTCACCGTCACCAAAACCCCATTAACTTTATTGAAAAAGTGTTCCGTTTTTGCACTCAAATTGGTATACCTATGCAAACTTATTCAAATTTATTAATCACTGACTGGCCCATCAATAAGTAATCTTATTATCTTTTTTATTCCTGTATCTTCTCTTTTATTGCAATCGTTGCTTTGATAAACCGCATTTCAACCAATGCAAAAATGGTTGGCATCCCACAAACGATCATGAAATACATCATGGGACATTACACACACTATCTATAACACTACTACTTGAATTATATTTATGTACATTAAAGTAACGAAAAATGTTTATTTAGTTATATATTTAAATGAAAAAAAAGTTGTGTACACCTGGAGATTTAGTCTGCTTACTTGACAGGAAATTTTTCTTTTTCATCATTTCAGCTTTCCATCGCAAATGCTTTTTATAGGCAACGAAATTTTAGACGAAAAGCGCACTATATGTTTTCATTTAATAGAGGACTTTCCAGTCTTGATCGGGCGTTTTGGTGGATACGTTCAGACTGCTTAGTGATTTTTAGTTAATGAAGATATATTTCTTGCGCTATGTGCCTTTAGGTACCTGTTTTTAATTTTTGCACGTAAAAATTCCATGTTGTTTGATTAAAGACGAATTCTGAGTATATCCACACATTCGAATACATATGGATACACAATCCATAGCTGGACAGCAGGCAAAGAATAGGTACGACCCACTTATCGTGCTAAATGGTTTAGTAATAAGTCGGAGCCTCGGGTGAAGGGACAATCCTGTGGTGTATTTATAGCTGTGTCATGGACAGCGTGAGACGATATCTAACAAACAAGACAAAGAAAGAAGATAAAGTTCTTGTCTGGAGTGATAGCTGGATAATTGCTGACCACGAAGGATGTGGAAAACATTGGCCGAAGAAGTACTTGCAAGGTTTGGAGACACTGGTAGTCCGTCATTCCAAACGGTATCCACAAGTTTTTTGCCTGACAGCTTCTGTTATGTAATAACTCCTGCGTTTTGACATTAGCCAATCTGCACGCTGGGGATTTGGAGACTAAGGATAGAGACTTCAGGCGCTACCTTTCTATGTGACTTCTGATGCATCCTACGACAAGGATGCGAGTACCCAGCTTAAATAAGCCCAATAAGAAAAACTGCAGTTTACGATAAAAGGGGTTTTATTGCCATAGATTTAAGGACACGCATTAGCACTGCGGAATTCAGTTGACATGCAATTCGATTATACATGAATGTCAAAATAGGAAAGTACACTGTAACTGAAAGCATCGTGCAGGTATACTCAACTTCGTTTCAGACATCAGCACAGAACTCATGGAAAGCAGATCAGCAATTCACAACAAAGCGTAAACAAATATGGTTGTGTACAATAGGGAAAGAGAAAATGATAGCGAAACGCAGAAAAGCTACTCATTGTCCTGACTTTGAGCTAATGTTGTGCGATTGATCGTCTTCATAATAGCTCGACGGCCAAGTGAAGAGATTGTGTCTGCGCGTGTAACGGGAGGGGAATTATGTTTTTGTCCGATTACAGTTTGGAAGGAGTGCATTCGTTGGAAGGTCTTCCGTTTGGCATTGATGTCACTTACCGTAGATACAGTGGCTCTATTCGCATTGGTTTCATTCTGTGACGATGGAGCCGCACGCGCGTACAGCTTTGGCTCATCAATTCCGTAGATCCAGTACACCTTACGACTGACTGTACTCAGCACCTGGCTAGAGTTTTGGAATGCCTGTAGTAATTCACACAGCCATGTTTCGATTATTATTTGGTCCTAAAAAGGAAAAGAGGTAGTCACGTGTCAAAGATGATACCAGAATTTTAAAATATCGTAAACCAACTCACAAAATACAGGCTTATCTCTTCCAGCTTTATTCATTGAGATATGGTCTCAAATGATTACTGGACAGAATTTTAATTAGGTAAGGGCGTTGACCGTTTACAGTTCCCTCAGACCAAATGGACACATCTTAATCGTCCTTATGCAGCAAAATAATATGGAAGAAACCGTCTCTCCTCACGATAAAAAGTAAAACAACGGGGACCGTAGCAAGTGTTACCCAAAACGCAGCTTCTGCATAAAGCCTGACGTCTTATGAAACCACAGAGCTTACAGATTCGTTTTGCACGAGTCGCACGATATGACTTTTGGACGACCTCTACCCGTAAAAATAATTTTGTTATGCAAATCAGCAGATCTAGTTGAAGGTCAGAGAAGGAAAATCACGCAACTGGCGCCTTTTGTATTTCCTCCGCCCTCTTAAACGGTAACCGCATTTTCATTCTCCTTTGATAAAGCCAGCCTCCTTGGACTTTTTGACGACAAACAAAAGCCGCTTGTTATAAAATGTATGGTTATGAACGGAGGAGTATCATTAGGAGCAATTCTCTTCTTTCATAGAATACGTCGACTACATTTTAAAAGATGTTAAATAGTTTACTTACCCAACTTTTACTGTGAGATTTATATTTTAAAAATATTCTGCAAGCAGAAAATACAGAGGCTCTAAGTGCTGTCAAAAACTGATAGATTGATCATTCAACGTTTTGTATATAATAACGTGGTTAATTTCTCAAACCTCGACACCTCCTCAACACCCAAAAATGCGCACCAAAACAAAAGCCGATTCCATTTCCAACGAGCGGCGGGAAAAGAAAGGACGGCTTGAAAGAAGCTCTTTTGCTTCTAATATGCGGATTTACCGTCACTAGACCGCCCACGTTGTCGGCAAGATCATGACCACCTGGACCTTTGTAGTAGTAAATTTAATTGATAGCTTTTCTTTATAAACTAGAAATCCCTTTTCCACTAAATAATAAATAATGATCTTGTTTATAACTGTCTTCAATTTGGAAGCATCGCCAGGTATAAAAACAAGCTGACTTACTGACCTCCTGATGGCTGTAAGACGCAGAATTATGTTAATTGGGGGGCCCTGTATGATGTTACCTTAAGTAAGTGACTGGTAAATAAAGCCGACCGAAACGGTATTATTTTCCGTCTGATGTTTTTGGTCTACTGGGTAGCACAGATGTCTTCGACAGTAATTTAGCCGGCCTAAATGTCGGATAAAATGGAGCCCGTCCCAAAAGATTTAACTAAATTCCCATTGCTTCCTTGTAGGAATACGAATGCCAAAGGCAATATGTGTACAGCTAATAAATTTAACACGTAATTGTTAAGAGACTGCTACCCGCCGAACAGAAAAGGTGCACATTAATTCTAAATCAGCAGTTTCGAAACTTGTATAAAGGAAACCAAACATTTTTCTGAGTAACTGAGCAAAAATTTTTATCACAATAGTAAACTCCTTGTCACCTTATACTGAAATTCACGAATGCTGAATGAAAAGAATGTACTATACTAATGGGGTTCGAGACTGAATTTTCTTCGGATTTTAGGCTTAATTTTGAAGGTTCAATTCGAATACTTTGAGAACACTTGACTTTGCAACACAGTCCACCTGCGCTATATACATTTCTAAAATCATTCACCTTGTATTTACCTACTCTGACTAAATCGGTAAACACATAAAATTGTAGTCGGAAGACAAAGGCAGTAGTTGTAGTAGTCGGATCGCAAGCGAATTTCAAATATAAACATTCCCATTTTTTAAAGGACAAAGCGCGCGTTTGTAAAACAAATAATATTGAATATAGAATTTTAATAGAAGGCGGAAGAACTTTCTCTGGGACCAATATATGGTCCCAGAAAACGTTCTTCTGCCTTCTATTCAATTACCTGGGCCTCGCATATTTTCGACCATTGAGAATAGAATTTTAAAAACATTATTGTTTCCGAAAGAAGTTATACACTTTTGCAGAGGTAAAGGCGCTCTGATCAAGATTTTAAAGCAGTCAGTTGATTATCCTATGCATCGAAGGGAACTTATTTAAACTCACATTAGTCATGGTTACCGTGCGCTAAAATGGTTCACTTTCTATGTTAAATATGGGTTAATTTTAAATCACAAATATACTTGAAGTACTGTACCAACCTCGGAATTTATCAAGGGCTGGAACATTTTCGAGGACACGACTCGTCCCGCTTGAGCTTGGATGATTCAAAAATACTTCGAAATGCTTATACTGAACGTTGCGTAGTCTAGACGGTGTTCTTAGCGGACAACAATTCGATCGAAACGCTGCCTGAGAAGTATGGGTTCGCATGTAAGAGGGTTGTTGAAACTGGGGAAATTTGAGCTCTAATTCGCTCAAGATACAAGTTAAGTCTGGCTGATGCCAACTGAAAAATTTGTTTTAGCAAATCTGGAGCAAAAAGGCCAATATGAGTGTCCGGATGAGGTATTTATTAGGCTCAGACTTTATTTGAAAACTATCGGAAGCTATTAATAACCCCTGGAAGTTTGTTAAGTGAAGGAGATCTCCAAAAGTGTTGTTGAGAGGGGGTAAGAAACGGAACACTGGGATGTCGATTGCTGGAATGGACATGTTGGAACGGACTACACGCTCGGTACTACAGAATTGAATCCTGTAGACCAAAGCATTCCGCATGATTGATATTCCATTAGGACTAACAAGAGCAAGTCGGAGAGGTCAGGTTACCCGTCTGGATTATCATACTGAGATATATTTTAAGTCAGCTTACATTTATTTAAGTTATTTATAGCACTGTATACAATAACCATCGCGCTTACCGACATAAATGAGATCTCTTGCAGACAAACCTCTTATTAAAGTTACCCATTTTGAAGTAAAATCGAATTTTAGCAGGTACCCGTAGAGTGCTATAAATATATACTTTTCTGGTTGAATGATTTCATAAAAGACAAAGCTTTTAGATGGAAGGTGCTGAGGAGAGACAGAAAACGATGTACTTTCTCAGACTTCTTAGTGTGTAACATCTACGAGGATCTTCGCAATTTATTAATATATTACTGGTACCTGTCACTTTCTTGAAGCGTTGTCTAAAACATTTTCATTACGATTTGGGGTGCGCCAAATAGCTGGTTGACCATGCAAAGAACCCTGGTTTTGAAATAGAAACCATACAATTTATATGTCATTGACAGTTTAGTCGCTGGCTTCTCCTGGATTGTGGATTGTGTTTATAAAATGCTTCTGACTGCTCGAGGGTGAAGCCTTTGGATTATGATCTCATAGAGTGATCCTCACTATGACGAACAGTAGGATTTCGTCAATGGTTGCTGATTTGTGTTAAGCCAGAATATTTTGACTTGGAGAACACAGCCTATACGGTTTATCCATTTTCATCAAGATTCAATAATGGGCAATAAACTACAGACTAAGGTGAACATACCGTTGAAGTGAAGAAGATTTTCGACTGGTCTTTCAGAACGATTATGACAACATTTTCATACTTGTTGACCTTCTGAAGCGATGGATAAATAGATCCAAAATCCAGCATGGAAACTGACTGAAAAAGAAAAGCTTGCATTGAACGGATTAGTTGGGAATAAAACTACTCCTTTGCACAGATTTCTCCCTGGTTAGCATATGGCATGACTTTAAAAAGTTTTATTCCTGTGTCGTAGTGAAACCCTTCCTTTGTATCGGCCAGTCTATTTGTACGACCAATAATCAACCATTTGCGGTGGCATGTACAAGTTGACTGTATATGCACCATAAAACATAGACAAAAAATGTCGTTCAAAGCAGGCAACTAAGAAAAATTTTAAACGCGCCTACATGCTGTGAATAGCGTCATACGAGTGCGGCTGACTCTTTGATGTTGTAGAAGATCCATCGGCATAACGTCGTAGACCGGAATGGCTATTTTTGACACAAACCAGTGAATACGTCAGATGTTACGTCCTAGTCTAACTCGCGACATCAAGACCACTTCTTTCATTAGAAACCGATTGCTATTCTAGTGCATGGTGGGAAAAAGTAAGCCCACTTTAAGGCGTCTGGCAATTAGGACGTACAGTTGGAATTCGACTTGATGTGCCTTTTTGTTTGATATGCCTTTTGTTTTGTTTTTTTCGATTTGATATGCCTTTTTTGTAATAACATTCTGAAAATCAGAGATGGCTGAAAACTGCCTCTATTTTAATCAAACAGGTAGTAAACCTTGCGTAAATTCAGTGCCTTGTGAATATAGTTGTTTGTTCAGTGATTTACATTTTATGCAAAACATATATCCATTGTCCGGTTACTGGAGATCGCGGTGTCGTCACTGTGAGGATGTTTCACTGCCTAAATTAAGGCTCGATTAGCATCAAGTTAGAACGAAGTCAGATAAGAATGCAGGTCTACCTAGGCCGCGGACAAAAGGGTGAGACCAAAATACTGTAAATGTTGTCGTGGGAGTGAGTTGAAAAGTTAATAAGAAATTAACTGAATATATAAGTCATTCGATGATGGCTAAATTACGATGAATATGAGTTTAAAATGGTGGTGAATGGCCAAATCGCATCTAAAGTAAGAAGAAAATGCTTTCGAAAAAAGTGCCCGGCGCCGATTTAAAAGAACAACTTTTGGACCAAAAGCATGCACAATGAGTCTACTTGCAAATTTACACGCACACTGTTGCCGTGAAAATGCATGACCCCTAGAGGTAACCAATTCTGTCTTGTCTGCTCCTAGGGTACCCGTTTCGTTGAGACAACTACTTAAGCAAGGCGATGTTAGTTTAAATGACGAAGATATGTGCACGTCTATGGGCGAAACTAGAACTGCATCACGTGAACGGTTATATTCTCAGATAGCTTTAGATATTGAGCAATCATGCAAGCTGTCTGCTTCCAGTTCCAGTGATTAAAGTTCTGCTTAATATTACGGAAACCAGAAGCCGTACTTATTCATTTCACAAATTAGATAGACACTGGGCATATTTGAAGTCAAGAATAAATGTTTAGTAAGCTGCTTAGAAAGCAGCATCGATGCAACAACAATCACTCTGCCTGCATCAGCACGGCAAACGTTTGTTTTACAGCTTGGGAAATTAATCAATGAATTTTAGTCACATAACAGGAAGGATAAGTTATAAAGCAATGACCATATTCGACATAATACACTAATAAATTAAGGCTAACCGTTTGGAAGTTCAGTTCGCATTCATTATTTACTGTCAAATCTAATAGGTTAAAAGTAGATAGTAAAATAGCTTTATCGGAGGTGACAGATATGTGGGAAATCTGCTTTTCGTTAGTCGCAAGCATGCCTGAATAACAAGGGTGGGTTTGCTGTATACACCCCCCTCCCAGACTTGCGCCTGAATACCTACTCACGATGCAAAAATGCATAAAGAATATTATGTATACTGAGTACGGTAACCAGCAACTTTGAGGCTGAATCTCAGAATACCTACAGCACTGTGTGAGAGGCATAGTATTCGTCATAAAAATAGACTGACGTCCTTATTTACAGATCAGTCTTGTGTCAAGGAAACGACAGATAAAAATCGAAAGAAATTCTACCTCAGCCCCTTTCAGGGGTATTCCTTGTTGGGTCTTGTGATAGATTTCAAGACGATTTGGAAACAAGCGAACGTGCTTCTTGTGCCATGTGTGCAAAAATGGACCACCCAGACGAAGGAGTTCACTTTCGATTAGGCAGTCCGATGGACCACACCCGTAGGTCTCCGGGGATATCCACCATTCGAGTAATAAATCAGCTGGCCAACTGGGAATCACATCCTCTTCAATTGATGCCTGCTTAGTGGTGGCGCTTTCCGGGCAAGCTTTTTGTGGATAAGTGCTCGATTGCTGTCGTTCCCATGTCTCCTGTTGCAAAGCAAAGTTCGTGGTGCCGGAGAGGTACTTTGAGACAAACCGAGAAGCTTCAGCTTCGGCTGGATCCACTTCAGTCTCGTGAGCAGGAGAGGAGTTGGGCCCACTCATAGCCTGGGAGAGTTGCTTTAGTTTCTGCTGTAGTTTCTGTCGCCTTTTATGTTCAATTTGATCAAACTCCTCATTAACCGCGTCGAAGATTGTAGTTACGATTTCATTTTGCCAGCGATCGGCAATTACGACGTCGAAACTGTCGTAAATTGCTTGATCCTCCTTCGTCAGCTAAAATTGAAACGGCTGTGTGATGTATGGTCTAGAAAGCATTTCGCTAAAAAACTATTTTTACATTCCAAAAGAACACGCAAATTCACCGAATTCTCTAAACTGTGGCTCTTCTTTGTTAACTGAAATTGGTAATTTAACGTTTGCCTGACACTTTCTGAAGATTTCAAAAGCTGATGTTAACATTATGTCATAAGGTGCATACTACTGGCTACAAATTTCTGTTTCATTTTATTCAATCTTTAAGAATGCAACTGTTACTCAGCTTTGACAGCAAGGATCTAATATATCGTTCGGTAGACATCAAAAATATATCTTACCCCAAATGTTCACAGAAGATATATTATTAAAAAGGCGCTTTGTTACACCGGAAAAGTACTGCCTTATTAAGGAGATAGTAAATATTACATTAAAAGGCAACGAATCAATTTATTTCCCCTGTTTATCGGCTATAATGTTTTACCGGTTTATTCATCTAATGAGGTTATAAATTTGGAAGGATTCTTCCTTACATAAGAGCAAGTAAGTCGGGAAGGTGACAGAGATGCAATTTCTTCATTTCAACTTTATGCGAGTCACAGGCGTAGATGCTCATCACGTAGATTAATGGCCATATTTTGTGGCTTACACATTTTTACCTTATCCGGCTCGCTTTTGCATTCCTAGGGTTCCGGAACTTGCCAAAAACAAAGTATATACCTTTATGCCCTGGACGTCCTCTTCATCAAAAGCGCCAATCTCTAAAGCATCGGCAGCATTTACTTCATCCTGCGGAGGAATGACTGGCGGTTCCAAGTGCTGTCGCTTAACCAGTTCCCAGTCCAGGTGTACCAGGAATGGGTGCGATTTCAGTTCACTTGCCCTTAAATCAAAGAATTACCTTTACATATGGGCAGATTTACAAAAATTCCCATTAGGTGAAGGAAGTAATAGTTCCAAAAAAAACATTTTCGGACACTGTTGATAGAGACACGCATTTGAAGTTAGAATTATTAAAATAATTGTATTGTCCTCAACATATGACGCTCTGTAGCCTCACGGGATAAATGATCTCAGTAGGTTTATGGAGCACAGTAAGAACTGGGACAGACATCAGGAGAACTTTTGAGTACACAGATAATTCTGTTTCGTTATGGCTCCCTTTGGTATCTGATTGCAGTCCTGCAGAGACAGACAATGCTGCTTTTTATGAAGTAGTCGCTTGTACAGTCACGCAAAACTGCAAAAACAGTTGCAGCTACCGCATTTATTGCTGCCCATTATTGTTTGTGTCAGCGAAAGCAGGCAGGATTGCCCAGTATAACATTACCCAACGCACACATAAGCTCCTCATAATAACCCTTTTTCGGATCTAAAAACACATCCAAAGTAAATATACTCAGGAGAAAGCAGGCGATCGGACGCTAATGCTTTTTATCTGGAAAGTCGTGACTCAGTCCTGGAGCTTAGTGAGAGCTAAAAGCTTGAATACCTGTATCAGCGGATGGCTGAAAATCAGTAGATGAAAATGATAGAATTGTGTTACATAATCGTTCATAAATGCAAGACTCTTTGCTCTGTTAGGAAGGCACTACTATGAAATTAGGTCTGCTGATTACCACAGGCAATCACGGCAGATTAATAATGGTTTTGCCCTTTTTCCATTGAAAAATAGATTTTATGCAAATAAACATGAATATGACAGCAAACGTGTGGACCTACACGGTGACAAACAAGAATATGCAGCCAAATCTGTAGCATCGGTGTTCCCAGCATTTTTTTGTAGGAGGCTATAAGGTTGACTCTAATATGTAACTTGTTGGTCGCAGTTTACAAAGACCTATTTTCCGGTTGCGCGAACTAGTTGCTGTACAATTTTTCGTATGGCAGGAAATTGGCGAAATTGTTTTCTTTGAGTTACTAGTTTAAACCTCGATCGACGTAGCATCATTTGTTTGACTAAAGATATGAAACGGTAGTTTCCGTTTACTCATAAACCTGACGTGAAAAGGCAGGATAACTACTTGACCTCCTCAACTCATACTGCACAGGCTGTTCGCACAGTATCTTAATAATTACGGAAGTAGAAATGGTAGGTGACTCATACCACGTTTATGTAATTAACGAATTATTACAAACCCACTGTTTGTTTTTTTTCATCGAATATAAAAAAATTAATCATGTAAGAAACACGTGTAGGCAGCCATCTTGATGTCATCAGACTGAAGAAATAACACCTGCTTGACTGCGAAAGCGCAATACGATAATACAAACTAAACTAAACTAATATACTAAATCGTACTCAAACCGTGGATATTAAGGGGTAGGACGCGCTTATAAGACTTCCTTGCGGGTGTGTAGGACCAGGTGCCATCCAAAGTACAATAGACGCCGTTGATCATGCAATATTTCGACATATGTGAAAGACTAATACTCTTTCGCTAATCTGAAATGACTTCAGTTGTGATACTGATTATCGCGTAGTCTATTTTTGAAGTCATTTCAGTCGGAATAGGATGCCGGCTTTTTAAAGAGCTTCGTTCCGACTCCGAGCAAAACTTATCTATTGTAAAAACTGACTACTTATGTAGTATGCCTTTTTATCATTGATTTTGACTGCCTTTATAAATTCACGACTACTTAAGTTGTATGCCTTTTTATCATTGATTTTGACTGCCTTTATAAATTCAAAATATACTTTATGGAAAACATGCACGAGAAAATTATTTTTTGTACTTGTTTGATTGCAAATTATGTTCACAGAAAACATGGACGAAAAAATTGTTTCTTGTACATGTATGATAGCAAATTACGCCTTCTTTAAATTTTGGAAAACATGCACGAAAAAATTTATTTCTTGTACTCTTTTGGTAAAAATTAGTACACGAAAAAGTCCTTTCTCGTACTTATCTGATAACAAATTGCGCCTCCTTAAGATGAAAAAAATTATTTCTTGTACATGTTTGATAGCAAATTACGCCTTCTT